GACCCTCAGATTGTGAGTCGAGCGCCTTATCCACCTGGCCATGCCGGGCCAAATTTCATGATAATCAGTGAAACAATGAATATAGTTTTTTCACCAAAATGTGTATTATTTGTTCTTAAACACAAAGTTACACAATGGGCTACTTGTGCTCTGTACATCGCTGGTATCGAATCCTGATTTTTAACGTTATAAACCTTCAGGCTTACCGTTGAGCCATCTGATGGCATCATAATCTATATACATGTAATAAAAATAATCTGTTCCAACAAAAAATTCACATGTTATGTTCATTTCTAATTTGACTGTAACCTGTTAAAAAAAAAATGTTCATGTACATAAGGCCTGGCATGGCCAGGTGGGTAAGGCGCTCGACTCGCAATCTGAGGGTCGCGGGTTCGAATCCCGTCCCACTCTTTCAGCCGTGGGGGCGTTATAATGTATTCGTTGGTAAAAGAGTAGCCCAAGAGTTGGCGGTGGGTGGTGATGACTAGCTGCCTTCCCTCTAGTCTTACACTGCTAAATTAGGGATGGCTAGCGCAGATAGCCCTGGTGTAGCTTTGCGCGAAATTCAAAAACAAACAAACAAATCATGTACATAAGTATTTTATGTGCTACATACAAAATATCTTTAGGTTAAAAAAAGTGCAAGATTAACGACATATTTTTGCATATTAAATAAAGTATACAATTATTTAATAAGCGGAAGACACATATTTTTCGGTTATTATAGTGTTACGACAGCGGAAGTCACGTGACGCTTAATGAGTTCTAGAAATATCGAGGAACATCACGAATAATCCAGTATTTGCTAGGCGCCCTCTATTCTTGTATATAAGTGCGTCAGACAATGAATCGAGATAGAATTGCAGACAGGCAGAGATAGAGACGGACAATTGAGTCAAGCGCGGTAGTAAGTAAAGTGCGTGAATTGTTCGGTGTGAATTATAGCGTGTGTTCAAGTTAAAATAACTGTGGAAATTAAGTGTATTGCAAAGTTGTATTGAGAAAGAATAAACTAGTTTTATTTAAGAAACGACTTGTATCGCTGAAGTTTCACGGGAAGAATATCTACGAGAAATTAACAAACGAACAGAGACGTACAATAGTTTATCGTGTCAGTTAACATAATGTGCTTAGAAGTTCAAAAAATATTACTGTATTGAATTGCATTTATATTCTCATGCTTAAATTGATAAAAATAAAGTGTTTATCATCGTGAAATAATATAAACTATAAAACATGAATGATGTTATGACAATACCGAAATTGCTAATTTTTTTCTTGTTTTCTTTGGTTACCCTGAGCTATGAAGTAAAAATGTTAATATCGGTTTACTGTAGCGTACGAAAATATAATTTATGAAAGTACTCATTAAAAACGTAACCACTCAATAATCTTGTCAAAATACCATATTTAATATAGCGATTATAGTTAGACATTAAACAGGTTGAGATAATGTATTTGAAAAAATAGGAAAATATATTAAAAATACTTTATTACTTGTCGATGTAGCAGCGTCCTCTTTTGATATGTAGTAATCCAACGCACAGTAATCCAAGTCCTGACCTGGATATTCCTTTTTTTTGATAACTTGCGTGAGCGTAAGAGCAAAATTTTACTGTTGCGATCTAACTCCGAAGGCTAATCGTAACAAAATGAATTCACTCCGTAGTCTTCGCAAACATCCTTCTGTAAGTTCTTTCGTTTATATTATGCATTTACTTATATTACAGTGATTAGTTACTTTCACTCGGAAATGATTAGATATTAATACGTAGTACTTCTAGTTCTACTTGTAACTGGCGAATTGTTCGTAGTAAGCTTACGCTAGCACTAGCCAGTTACAACTTTTTTCTTGTCGCATTTACTATTTAGCCTAGACTACAGTACAGTGCAAACAGACCACGTTGATCTGCGAATTTAAATGAAAGGAGCCGTTGCGCTTTAGCTATACTGGCTAACACAAGTTAGTTACAGTTTAGTTTTCATAATTTACTTAAGCTCAAGTGTTTCGTGTAACATTAGTTCAACTTCAGCTTTCAATTCGTAAATATATAAAGTGATATAATTATACTACTTAATGTTTGCGCTATGGTTGTATAGTATTAGTGAATGCCAAAAAAAGTAATAAACTATAAATATTAGTGACAGAGCTAATTTTCAAATTACAGATATTTTGATTGCGTTGATTGTGCAAATAACAAACCTTAATTGAAAGTGTCAACTTCACCTGGAAAAGGAATGAAATATAATCAGTGATAGTTTTAAGATTTTTAATGGGGGGGGGGGGCAGTAGGTTGGGGGTAGGAGGTTGTGTTTAGACTTAGTTGTGTTATACAGTGAATTATGTAAAATGGTAGTTATCCAAGTACAAAATATTGTTATTACTAGAGAGAATTCATAGTATTGTAAGAGCAATACAGATATGCATATGAATAGTAGAACTACTTAGACATTATTACAGACTGCATGTGTGTGTTTGGTGTAAGAACACATGTCAGCTAAAATGTTTTTCAAATAGCCTTTATCAGCAGTTCCCATTTTTTTCTTTAAAGGTCTTCTGTCATAATTGAAAATACATGTTAAAGATGTGTAATATACAGCATATTCAAACTACAAAACTATTCAGGATATATTTTAAAAGAAATCAAAAGGGTGATTTATTGAAAATGTGAAAAAAAAATCAGGAGAACAGTGATTCAAATTACTCTTAAAAAAATAGTTTCAGAAATATTCTAAATTTCCAAAATACCAAAAAAGATTATGTATTTAAAATCTTAACAGTATTTTAGAATATTGTAGATAGTGTGTATCACTATAAATTTCAATCACTTGGACCAGCTCCTAGTTTTTTTGCTTAACATACACTGTTATGGTATGTGTTAGTTTCATATTTATGTGTATTGTATATATTGTGTCAAGTGGATTCACTTTCCATGTTTTCTATAAACTATGTTAATATTTGTGGCTAATAAATCAGTTAATTCTACTAAACTATAAGTCAATTTGCCAAAAGGGGTATTTGTATCAATGGTATTTTGTATTTCAATTTACCATAAAGTTTGTTTCCGCTATACAAACCAAACCATAAAGAGTTGACATTATCAGTTATTGTGATTCATAATTATTAAATACTAGAATTACTTTTTGTTACTATAATTAAAATATAAATTATACAAATTGTATAGTTTCATGAATATTACAAAATTAGTAAAAAAAACTAGTGTGAAAAAATATCTTAAAACAATCTCTTCAATTTCGTCTAATAAAACAAAGAATGTACATTTTTAATTACAATTTGCACTTAATGAAAACTAATGTTCATAAAATGTTCTTGCTGTTATTTAGTAGTTCTAATAAACACTGGAAAATAAGTATATTGTATTAAATTCTATAGTGAAGTATATGAAATGACAAATGAAAATATTACTGGAGTCGGGATAACTGATTTTCAGAATTCTTGTATAAAGGGGCACAATATAGTATAGAAACAGTAATCTACTTATTCCTACAAGTTCTTTATACCCTGTTAAATTATATTTTAAAGCATGCCTCCATGTGGCTCAGTGTGGTTTTAGGACTGTGTTTATACTGATTCAAATAAATGCCCGAGTTTCTTACTGTTGCAGAAAACTGTCATTCATATAAGTTATTTTAAACATAATTGCATGGCTGCTATGAATATATAATAATTTTAATTATTTTATTCTTATTAGGTAAAATATAATAAAATAGTATATATATATATATATATATTCTTTTTAATTTTATGGTAGATGTTATACAGAGTGCTTGCAATCCCAATAGGGTTGCAACACACACTTTGGGAAACCATGAATTAGGGAATTTAAGTGGTAGTGACAAATTATGTATAATGGCTGGAGACGGCTTAAATGGGTAATGAAGAAAAACTTTAATATAAGTTTAACATGACAGCAAATGTACAACGTTTCG